CTGGTCTCTCAGTCACTGACGAAAGCTAGTGGATACTAGCTGAAACGTCTGACCGTTTCCAAAATCATATCCAGTTGATTGAGTAACTGCTTTTTGGCGTATCTTTTTACCTGGATGTCTAACCTTCATCGACGTAAACAACCTTAATATTAATATTCAGGCAGCCAGCTCCATGCACACGTATTACTTAGAGGGGAGTGACATGGTTCTATTATTATCATAATGACTGTTAAGGCATTTCACAGATAGCCACAGAATTATGGTAAGAAAAAAACTTCAATTTTCTTCACTTCTGCATGGAAACTGCGAACGGAATTATGAAAACATCAGCAAAATGAGTGAAAAACATTGATATTAATATTTATGTTATGACGAAAACAAATACGTATCCCGATCCCTGTATTATGATTATAATTTTCGTCATAATCATAAATTTTAATGCTATTCAAAAAGCCAGCTTCAGACAATCAGCGAGTGAGCCTGGTGCGGCAGAGGCGTGGTCTCTTGCCCAATTCAAATCTGAACTGGCGAGGGCCCTGCCGCAGTACATGTATATATGTAGATATTACTAACACACTAAATTCACTTTTGAATGCACAGAATCATTAACCTGATATATAGTATGTTTCTTAGTGTCTTACCTTTACCTTTACCTTTATACTTTTGTTTATTCGTACCGGTCACTTGTGTTGTAACTAACATGTATGGGAATCCGATCTAGTATCGGGCTCAGCAATATAAAAGAAGAAAACAACCTTAATATTAATATTCAAGCAGCCAGGTTCATGCACACGTATTACCTAGAGGAGAGTGACATGGTTCTATAATGACTGTAAAGGTATTTTACAAATAACCACAGGATTGTTGTAAGAAAAGTCTTCAATTTTCTTCACTTCTGCCTGAAAAATGAAAACGGAATTATGAAAATATCAGCAAAATGAGTAAACAACATTGATATTAATATTCATGTATAACGAAAACAAATGTGTATCACGATAGCTGCATGATTATTTTTATTTTAATCATAATCATAAATTTTAATGCTATTCAAATAGACAGCTTAACATACAAGCCCCGTAACCCCTGCTTCTCCTATTGGGTCAGTTAGTCCTCACTACTTGTGAGAAATTGGGCTGGTCTCAATCATGATGTTTCTGACTCAGGGAGAAGAGTTGCTGTTACAGTTCTACTCGGTAACCCCAAGGACATTATACACAGAAAATGTCCTTGGTAACCCGTAACCCAGGTGAGTGGTAATACCATTCAGGTGGTAATGCCATTCAGGTGGTTAACCAACCTTGAAGTGGCCTAACGGCCGTGTTACATGGCGACCACTAAGTAAAAATGTTCCTGTCTTTCTAGGTGGGAGAAAACCATGGGAAGAAAGCTGCTACACATGCTGGTTGTGATTCTTATCATGTCGGAAGACCTCAGCATGCCAGAGGCATGCCGTAACGGGGGTTGTAGACCGTATAAAGTCTGCTGGTGCTCAACCAAAGGCATCACCACCATTCCTCAAAACCTCCCAAAGTCTATCACTGGATTGTATTTGATGGATAAGCTTATTACAGCTGTGAATCAGTCTGAGCTTTTACGGTACAGGAATTTGGGTATGTTGGATTTAAGAGACAATCGTATTAGCACTGTTGAGCCTTTCCCCAATCTGCCTAGACTTAAATGTTTGGACTTAAGTTTCAACAAAATAACTAACATCAAGCCTGGAATATTCACAAATTTACCCTTGCTACAAGATCTAAGCTTAGCCGGCAACCAAATAACCAACATACATTCCGGTACGTTTGCAATAGACAAGCTTGACAAGTTAGACCTGAAAGTTAACAAGATAACATTGATTCAGTCTGGTACATTCGTAAACCTCCCACAACTCAAAGAACTGACGCTGCACGGTAACCCAATAACAGAATTTCAGTCTGGCGCATTTCAGAAATTACCTCATCTCAAAGTTATGGATCTGCAACTACTCCAGACGCCAACAATTCAGTCTGGAGTATTTGTAAACCTACCCCAGCTCGAAGATGTGAAGCTCACCAGAGCTAAGATATCAATGATTGAGCCTGGAGCGTTTGAAAATCTATCTTGCCTCCAAACATTGGAGCTAGAGCGCAACCCGTTAGGAATGCTTTATTCAGGTACATTTGCGAATCTGCCTCAGCTTAAACTGGTATTTCTCAGATTTTGCGGAATAACAAAAATTCAAGCAGGCACATTTGTAAACCTACCCCAGCTGGAACATGTGCGGCTAGATTTCAACAAGATAAATATAATTCAGCCCGGTGCATTTTCAAATATATCACGGCTACAATATTTGGACATAAGCCACAACAAGCTGCGTGTTATTTCCCCCTTAGCGTTGCCATCTATTGTCACCATCAAACTTGATGGAAACCCCTGGCATTGTGACTGCAGGATGGTTCCCTTCAGGCTGGAAACAACTAAATTTCCTTCATTTAAAGACAAGATAATATGTACCAAACCCTTCGAATTCAGAAATCAAAAACTTAAAGATGTCAATCTTATATGTGAAGAGCCAAGCACGTCAACACTAGCTGTTGATATCCAAACCTCATTCACTACATCTCCAGTGTCAACATCTTCAGTTGGCACCACAGAAAGCTATGTAAGCCCAACAGAATTCTCTGAAGGCTCCACATTTGCCACACACACCCCTGTAAGCGAATCAGAAAGTGCAAATAACAGTTACAACATCACAGTCACCTCTTGCTATCACTGGCACTTCATAAGCAATGCTGGCTCAACAGCACATCCTGCAGGCAAACCAAGAAAAACAATATTCACGGTAACTCCACCCCGTACAATCACTCCTAAACAGAACCCAGAAAGCAGCAGTTCTCATGAATCTGCTTTCCCCCTACCTGTTCTCATCCGCTCTGTTTTTGGTTCTGTAGCTGGTATTGCCCTGATTGTCGCCATCAGTCTCACAGTGTGGTACAAAAGGAAAACCGAGCATCCTCCTTTAGGCCTGGGTGTTGGTAATAACACAAATACCATAATGTCCAGCGGTCAAGATCAGACAGGGCAGGGACAATCTCAGGCTAATACTGAAATTAACACGAACGCCACAGCTAGTGTAATGATTCAGGCTGATGTTCATCAGTATGAAGATATTGACAACCATCAGGTTCAGACAACACAGGACCAGTCTCATCAGGCCATGACTGAAATTAATACAAACCCAGCTTCTGTAACTAGTGGTCCTGATGATCAGAATAAAGAAGAAATGAACCATCATGTTCAGGCAACACAGGACCAGTCTCAGGCCGTGACTGAAATTAATACAAACCCAGCTTCCGTAACTAGTGCTCATGATGATCAAAATAATGAAGAAATGAACCAAAATGATCTGACAGGGCAGAACCAGTCTTACACCATCACTGAATCCTTAGATGCTGAAAATCTATCTTATGGCACAGGTGCTGATACCTCGCAGCTAAATTCTTTGTACGTAAACCAACATGATAAGACAGGGCAGGGCCAGTATCAGGTCATCCCTAAATCCTTGGATGTTGAAGACACACATAATGGCACAGTGCCTACTGCCTCACAGCTACCTTCTCTTAGCGAAAATGTGGAAACACGATAATTAAATCACTTTTCATTCAGGAAGAAACATAGTAATCGGTCTTTGAGATCATCAAAAGGCCATCTTGATTGATCTTTAATATGCCAAAGTTTTTTGTTTTTTTTTTTTGAGGGGGGGGCTGAAAATTACAGGAAAGTTTAGCGTGTCAGCTGCCCATTACGTATAATATAACAAGATAAGCAATAGCTGTTTACAACTTCAGATTTTGTATTTAACATTCCATAATATGTATTATAATGTGGGGTAACTGTTATTGGTCTTAGTAACTATAGCCCAACCAAGAACAGTGAGTGAGCGTTTTGTAAAAAGAAAACAAAATAAAAATTATTAGAAGAAGAAGAGCAAAGTATTGTACAGAATATCAAATGACTAGCTGATCAGCTGTTATAATGACCAGGCCTCTAGACTTTTGATGACCACCTTCTCTATAAGGCAAGAGAATTAGGAACATCTTAGTTTTGTTCATTTATGCATATGTTATAACATGGAAAAATGCAGACAGAGAACTGCCTTTAGTGTTACAGACTGTTTTTATTGTTTTTAGATTGAGCGCTGAGAACAATTGTTATTTTAGATTGAGAACAATTATTTTTTAGAGTGAGAACTGAGAACAATAATAGTAAACTAAAAATGTTCTAAACTAAAAACTGAGAAAAATTATTGTATTAGAATGAAAACTGTCCCGTTATCATTGTAGACTGATGTTTTTATTGTTTCAGAATGAGAACTGAGAACAACTAACAACCATTATTTTAGACTGAGAACAATTATTTTTTTAGACTGAGGACTGACAAAACTTGTTGTATTAGATTGAAAAATGTATATTATCATTGTAGAATGATGTTTTTATTGTTTTAGAATTAGAAGTGAGAACAACTATTGTTTTAGACTGAGAACAATTTTTGTTTTAGACTGAGAACTGAGAACAATTATTGTATTAGATTGAGAACTGTCTGTTATCCTTGAAGACTGATGTTTCATTGTTTTAGAATGAGAACAGCTCTTGTTTAAGACTGAGAACAATTAGTGTTTTAGATTGAGAACTGCTGTTCTAGACTCATAAATGAGAAAAAGATTTTTTTTAGATTGAGAACAGTTACTGTATTAGATTGGGAACTGAGAAGAATAGTTGTTTTAGACTCAGACATTGTTGCTTTAGACTGAGAACTGAGAACAATTATTGTTTTACAGTGAGAACTGTTGTTTTAGACTGAGAACAATTGATGTTTTGGATTGAGAACTGAGAAGAAGTGTTGTCTGAGATTGAGAACTGAACAATAGTTGCTTTAGACTTGGTTTTAGACTTCAGTGATCAAGAGGGTATCTGTCGTATTGCTGCCCAAAGTGTCCTTTGAGCATATAGACTTGTTGTGTGAACTATTTTTGAAGCTTGCTTGATTAGGACTTTCGTATTGAATGTACATACAAGCGTTATGTATTTATAATCTGTGCATAGAAGAAGCTACAAGGTGTTTTGCACTTCAAAAACGCCCACGACTGCTTAAAGAAAGGGACCATCACCTTTTATATGCCTCACTAATAATTAATAGAAAGAAAGAAAGAGCATTACCAAATTGCTTTGTTCTGCATTACTGTGCCTATTTATGGAAAACAGGGTACTTTTGAAAATTTCAAATTTTAGTACTGGATACTACATGTAAGTAAAATACAAAACAGCAGAGGTCTTTATATCATATCTTTTGTCAGAGATGCATTATTGTAGAATTAAAACAACATGTACAAATAAGTGTACAAGAAAAGAATAGATTCAACATATGCATGTCATACACATCATGGCAAACAATCAGTGAAGTTTGGTCATGTTTTTGTTCGAGTTTTCTTCTTTTTCTCTCTCCAACAATCATTCTTCAGTTCTTTCCTTTTGTTCCTGTTCTTTACTCGTGTCTTGAGTCCTTGTCTTCTCTTCCTGCTGCTTTGTGTTGTCCTCAGCTGAAACAGTTGGTATATTCTGTAGTTCCTCTCTCTTGTGCCTCTCCAGCAGTGGTTTGTAGATGTACAGACCTGTCAACCAGCCTAGTCCCAACACTGCCGCTATCTCCAGTTTTCCCAGACGCATCTTTGTAATATATGCACTTTTTTTAGAAAAAAATTCAGTCTTTATGAATATTATGAAACTGGTGACTGTGTGTTTACTAGTACTGTGCTGAGTCTCCGTTGTCTTGTGTGTCATAGGAGTGCTGAAAAAAAGAGGACAATCTGAAGATGATATTTCCTATAAATACATTATTCTCACATCAATTGAATAGCAACCGTTTCAGAAATACACAACATGCATTATTTTTAGAGGTCACTATTGTGATCAATTGTCAAATAGTGAAGTCCTCTCTCTCTCTCTCTCTCTCTCTCTATCTATCTTTCTTAAACAATTTTTACTAGTATATCGGATTTTTAGCTAGTAGTACAAACTGCACGGAAGAAGTACAACCACAAGGCAAAACTAGCACCGATACGATAGTAAACTTGCCTAGAAAACATCGATATAATTTTATACCCCCCCCCACCACACACACGCTAGCCAAATTATTATAACCAAATGCACATTGTATAATGTATGGTTGCCATTCCATACTTAATACCAATAATCTTATCAACAAGATATAAGTATTTATGAAGAGAATACCTTACCGGCATAATAGTCGGTCCGTGTTAACCCAAAACTGAGGAACTTGGAGCGAAAGTCGACGGAAAAAAACACGAGCAAGGGCAATCGGGCAACCTGACCTCCAGGTCCAAAGGTTAGAGGTCAGCGTTAACATTGCCTGATTATCAAAATACAGTCTAATTTTATGTCAAAGCAAATCCTATTAAGATTATATCATTGAAATGTTCATGTTGTTAGTTTATTACTACCACTTCATATCCAACTTTATTGTTGTAATAATAAAGAATGCAACGAGGGGAAAATTTTAAAGCATAGGAACACCCCCACGGTTTGAATGGCATAGCCTGATTTCAAGATGGCAGCGAGACGGGTGAATTTTTTTCCTAGCTGACTGCATTTTGACGATTTAAGTGCTCATTTCCTCGCTAATTGTACTATAAGTGAGTTTTGTGTGATCTCGAAGTCTTTTGAGTTGTTTTGCAACATATTTACCGAGTCGGACATCGAACAATTCGCTTAAAAAGGTATGTTTTCTATGAGTCTTTGTGGGGAGGGGGGGCGCTAGCCTACTAGGTATAGCCAGTTTTGTAGAAAGAAATCTTATGACAGGCTTTATACCTTTGGCATCTCTGATATCTACGGTCCGCACCTAACCTGCATTAGTCCATCTACTGTGTTATATATATATGTATTGACTGGTACATTTTGTAATTTACTGGTACCACCTTTGAGCATGTATGTGACCCTAGGTGTAAAAGAAATGAAAAGAGCTGTTTCCTCTTGCAGAGAAGCAGGAAAACCGACCATGACCTCCACGGACACCTCTGCGCTGGCCTCGGCCCGGCGCCGCGCCCTAACTGTAGCTGTCAGCGCTCTGTGTACAGAGGGAGGGTTTGGAACCGCAGAGAAGGGCGCACTGGAGAGCTTAACTGAGATGCTACAGAGCTGTGAGTTTTATCTTAAAGTATTTGAAGTTCTCCAACAACTACACAGTACAACACTAGTACTTGCTTGAAATTTCGTCTGTTGTGGTAAAAGTCTTCGAAGCAAGTTTAAACTGTAGTTTCTGATTTCTTGGTTTGGTTTAGTTTTCCTTTAATGCCCACAGTCATGATAATGATCATTGTGGCATACTCATTTTCACCTGAGTGAAGTGAAGAAAGTCATGTAAAGTGCCTTTCCCAAAGACACAAAATTGGTGACTTAGCGGGATTTGAACCTGGGACCTATTGGTTCTGAGCTGAATGCTCTGCTCTAATTGGTTTGTAATTGGACATAGAATCTCTATAAACAAATGAGTTCTCAACAAGATCAAGTTCAATAATACATGAGAGATATAAGATTTATCTATACGTGTACACATGTACATGCCAATGATTTCATGACCATACAAGACTAACAATGCAAGCCTTTGTTTGCAGATATCACAGAGATGGGCAGGAGTGCGAAGCAGTACTGTGAACTGGCCGGGCGGACGGAGCCCATGCTGACTGATGTTACTGTGTCCCTCATAGAAATGGGTAACAATTTACTATTATATCTAGGCCTAGTAAAAAAAATGTTGTGTTTCCTGTTTCCCAACCAACCCTACAAAAACTGCCGACCCTAGCCTTTTTTGGGGGTGGTGGACCCCTGCAAGGGACATAAATTTTTCGAGCTGATTGACCTTTTCTACTTCCATGATCTGACGCCTGAGTGATGAAATGTTGCACAATCTGTTTTCCAATATTAGCATTGAAAACAAAAGTATCCTCATGCAAGTTTTACATTGTTAAACTGCGTTATATAAGTTGGATCACTAGAAATCGCCAAAGTCTAATAAAAAAAAAAAANATGTATAGTATGAACAACACAGTACACATGTGAACAGGCCCAAACATGATGTGAAGTAAAATGCAGTACAAATTTATTGATACAAAACAATGATCACAATGTTATGGACCTCTATATAATGTCAGGGGCTAGCACTTGGCACAAAGAAATGGTCAATGTATACTATATCAAGACATATGTAATATAAAAAAATTGACAGGAAAGTACAATATTAATTTTACTGTGTCCTCAAAAAGGTACAATGTACTTGCAGCCTTCAGCTCCTACTAAAATGGCCCATTGAAGAGAAAACCGTAACATTTTCATGAAAACAATGCTACGCTGAAATAACAAAAACATTTTCAGATGAATCCTGTACAGAAATATGGAGTAATGTATATATATACATAACAGAACATCAAAATACAGATATGTCTGCCAAACATGATACAAAAGCTGCCTTTCTGTACAAGACGGGCTGACATTCTTTGAGTCTATAGCGCAATGCCCAAGTATACAAATACTCAACTGCCATTGACATTGCATTTAGGTTAATGTAAAACAAATGACAAAAAATGTTGATGTGCTTTGAAACAGAAGCAGTGCAAAGTCCAAGGATACAAATTCTCAACTTGAATTATAATTGCATTAAGCTTAACGTTAATGTAAAACAATTGACAAAGATGACATAGTTTCCTCTCAATGTCTTCAAGCTCCAAAATTCACATAAAATGTATCAGACATTGCAGAGGCTAAAATTCATTTGCCCAAAATTTGTGACGTATATGGTGCTATCTTCTACAAGGGGGTAAGCATACAGTATTCTTTTCTGATTTAATATGTGAATAAAGTGAATTTTATTAGTAACATAGGAGCTTTAGGAAGACTTTTCAAAATTACTATGAATGTAAAACAACATCAAAATGAACTCTGCTACTGTTTACTACAGGGTGGCTTTACAACAAAAATGCTGCCCAAAAAATGCCCCCCCCCCTCCATTGTATTAAAAAGAACTCAACCTTCAAATGACTTTACCAATTGTAACTTCAGCTGTTCACGGAAAGTGCTGTCAACTGTAGAGGACACTTTTTTTTTCACTTTTTTTCTTAGAAATACTGACAAGTAACACAAAGGTCATGATACAAAATGGCTGCAAATTTTCATTTTGTCTATTTTGGACATTTATTCTTAGTATCTCTATTGTCACAAAAGTTATTGCTATAACCTACGACACTTAGTACAGACAGACATCAAACACACACAGTTGTGACAAAGACAATGTGACAAGGCAACAAAGAAATGGTTATAAAATACTACCTACGTCACACACAGCTACACTCTACCATACTTTCTGCTACTTCTAGTACTATCGTATCAATTTTTGTGCTATCATACAGATTCATTGTGTTATTAATAGGACATTTGGTGTCACATGTGATTGTAGCCTCTTTTGAATGAACATTATTGGTGATATCTACAAGTTTGGCAGTTTATAACAATTCACCTTTGAGAGACACTCATGTAACTTCAGCACAAATGCCTGAAAATATATTAGAATCATTCAGGTTCACGATTCAAGCCACACCACAGGTACAGGAAATATAGATCTGTAAAGTGTACATAATATAAAAAAAAGGCTGTTTTAAATTTGAACTGTTGGCATTACAAATAGTTATGAAGATGAAAATTTGACACTAAATAGTGTCGAGATTGTGAAATTTTGTAGACTGCCCTTTGCACATTTTATTAACCATAACACCACCAAGGGTGTGCCCATGACTGGAGCCAGCTAAAAAGTCTGGTACTCTGTAATTCTTATTTTTGTGTGCAGCACCTGAAATTTGGTGGCACAGAGAATTTAATCATGAGTTTGCAGTTGAAGCAAAATTGCAAAGGACAGCCCAATTTGTGGGTACAAGTTTGCAGCGAATGCAGTTAACTGTAACCAACTAAAAAATACTGAGAATGTTTCACAGTTTACAGTACCACTTCAAGTTTGCAGTGAATGCAGTTAACTGTGACCAACTAAAAATACTGAGAATGTTTCACAGTTTACAGTACCACTTCAGGTATCACGGTGTGGCTGTTTTGATATGTTTGGTCCCAATACACATGGATGTCATATCAGCTACCATCACTAGTAACATTTACAAACACATTTTATCATATACAAAATTAGTGGACTACGATTGAATACAAATCAGAGAAAATCTTAAAATCATTAAATATACATTGTTTCGATTTTCATTCAGTGTGGAATTTCTGTGGCAAAAAGCAGCATATAAATAAGCACTGGCAGAAGCTTTTGTACATTTTTCTTAAAAAAAAGGACTGTTCTAAAATCAGTACCAATACTTCAGTGTATTTGCCTATACACAAAGTTGGAATTGTGACATGATTCTTCAACTTAGATTCATTAAAAAATACTGTTCAAAACCTTCCCACAAGAGCTGCCAAAATATAACAACATACTGTATTTCATCCAATTTATGCACAGCAAGAAACATGTTGTAAAATCCAAAACAGAGAAAAGTTAGCTCTAATTTTTCCAATAAGTCTCATAATATATACTGTTTAACAACAAAAGTCAAATATGATGAATTTCACAATAGACCATGTATCTTACAGAGTGGCACAATGATTGGATAAAATACAGTAGACAGAGTGTTGGAAGTTACTTGTGCAACATGCATTGATGACTCAACTGTATCTGCTTAATTTATACCAGTGTATGACAGTACTTAGTTTTGTAGTAATAGTATAATACAACATTTGGCCAGTCAAGTATATTATAATTCTTGCGGTATATAATATGTCTTTAGTGTGTTTCTGTATAGCAGTGTGCTGAGGTAGAGTATTATGGGTTAGTGTTACTATATGACTGTATATCTGTTGTCTGTTATACATAATGGATATTTAACATTTGGCATGTATATTTCAATAAAAGCTCCTTGTTTCAATCAAAGCTTTTTGAGAACTAAGTCTTGTATCAAGAACCACATTTGTAGCGGATGCAAGGAATATTTCAGTTCCACAATCATTATATAGTACAGCAAGTTTCAGGGAAAATATCCCAAGTTTGGGGCAAAAAGTGCCTTACTTTTGTTCATAAAAAAAAAGATGACATAGAAATAGCACTCCTCATAGCATTTCTATGCAAAGTACAGTCTTGGAATATCATGAAAACTTCACAGCTTATAAAACTAGCGCTATGAAAAACTTGTCTGAATTGCTGTCTCTAGCATTAGAACAGTTCCCTCGGGCATATTAATGTTGTCTAAAATTGCACGAAATCCCGAAGATTATCATATGTAGACATGATTTTATGTACTGACACTGTTTTTGCTAAATGTGAAATAAATACGAGAAAGGTTCTGCATTTTAGTAATGTCAAGTAATAAATACAAAGTTCTATTGCTTCAAGATAATCAGAAAAGGTATATAAAAAAGCTGCCACAAAAATTGGCTTCTCTCAAAATATATCTAAAGTAACAAAATAAATGCTGAAAAATAGAGTTATGCGGCAACTATTTTCACTACCCTATCCTTTTTATAGGAGAGTGAATACTGTATAGTGACATTTGAATTGAACATGTCAAATCTTAGTCCCTTTTTTATCAAGTTGGTGCAGTATCAAAATTTGCTTTTGGTTCAAAATGGAAGCTTGTCATTTGAATTCCACAATTTCTACAGAAATGTGGAATTTGGTGATGTTAAAGTTAGAGATTTTCAGTCAGAATGTTTTCAAACATTTCTGCCAAAAAAATACAACTGGATTGCAACAAATTCAGGGTTTCTGCTCTAGTGTATGCAACTTTTGGTAGGAATTTTAGCAACAACAAAATTTGCCCATCTTCTTTACCTTCCAGCACTATATATATGCATATGCAAGATATTTTTTTCTCACAAAATTTCCAAGGGCGCATATGCTGTGGTTCAAGGACAAAGTTTAAGTGACTGATGACCTTTAACCTCTGACCTTACCCACAATCCCCTGCAACACACAAACTGTGAAATGGCTTATTGCAAGGATAGCCCTGGAATAATATTTGTCCTTTAAAAAGGCACTGTCTGACAATATACAGAGATATGCTTGCCGACTACTTCTTGTGCCGCTTATTTTCTCCATGCCTTTCGGTCTATCAAAAAGTGGTCAAGGTACCATCCTGAATCTCCTGTTAGAGTTTAACCCTTGTCCTGCTGGCATTTTTACACAGTATTAGTCAATAATTTCTTGTCTTAACTGGACTTTTTTACACAATATTTTAAAGTAATTTGAAGTCGAAATCAGGTCACAGACCCCTGACTTTTTTGCCCTGTGGTGGCATAGTTGTGGTGTGATGCATTGCACGAGGAAGACCCCCAAATTGTACCTATCCAGAGTGTTACATAGATGGTACTGTATGTGCAAAACAACAATTGTTGGGCTGTGCAGGACAAGGGTTAAGAGGATGATACGATGACTGTATGAGGAAAACTTCGAGTTACAGTATTTATGGACGTGGCACTCTGTGATTCCTCAAGGCACAGATTGTCTGGCATTTTGTCTTATTGCATGACAGTTCAGAGATCTTCCACAGAAACCTACCCATGCTGAAATGGAACGGTCCACATTTCTGTCAGATCTGACAGCTTTTGGACTGGTCCACTGTGAGAAAGGGGTGTTACAGACATCGCAACTTAATGATGTTTTTTTTTGCAGAATCACGGATTGCACTCTCACTGAGAAGTTATGCACTTTATATCCTTTCGCATCCTACCTATACAGAAATGGAATAGTCCACATTTCTGTCAGGGCATGACAGCTTCTAGACTGACCCATTGTGAGAAGAGGGGTGTTACAACACATCTTTAGCCAGCATATGCTGGTTGCTATTGTATCTGCCCATCAAAAAATTTTGCCGTGTATTTAAAGACATTTATGTCTTTTAATCTTGATTTTCCGAAGCAAAACTGAGAGAGATATTAAAAATAAAAACCACTGAAAAATGCAGAAATCTTGCGCTTAAATTCTATATATCAAACCAACAACGGGTTTGCAAACTTTTGGTAAGTACCCTGTTCCATATTTGGTCATTCTGAACCTACCAGTAATATAGAATGACCATATAAGGGATCCAGATCTTGCACCTATCTAGCTAAACAATGGCTACGATAAAAAAGGGAAAAGAAATAAGGTTAAAAAATATTCTGTCATACAACCCTACAAAAAACTGGAAGACATTTTTGTTCTACCTTCCATGCTTCCAAATGGGGGTATTGTATGGGGGGAAATGTTTTTCTCGGAAGCTCCGTGGCTGGTAAGGGGGTTGCTGCTGCTCTTGGAGGGTGTGTTGGGGGTTGTGGAGCTTCTGCATGCCTGGCAGGGCCGGAGCAAGCGAGGGTCGATCACAACTTCCCCTCGAGAGCCTTTGAAGATGATGCCGCAGCAGATGTCCTCTCTGCAACACAGCAAAGTTATAAATAAATAAACGGCAATGACATGAAGAAAATACTCAAGAAGTCAACACTTTTCAAAAACCCCTCCTGCTACAAAATTGCTACATGATGTAACCTAACACCAGTTAGCATGCTGACAGACATCTGGTTCTGGTCGTTGACCTTTCGTGTTTGGAATGGAAGAGGAAACAGCAAAAACAATGTTTTCCTTTGGTAGAAAGTGGGGGGAAGACTTGCACAGGTCAGTAATCACCTGTTCTGTCGGGGATTTTTCTAAACAGGGGAATAAGGGAGCTGCTCCCTCATGTAATCAGCCAGCTCCCTCATACCAATTTTCAGATTGAACCCTAAGTGGCTACTCTTATTAAAAAATACCCCCTCGGTCACTTCGTTCCTTGTCATGCGTGCGATCTGCTCCCTCATGCTAAAATTTTCTAGAAAAACCCCTGGATCATCATTCCATTTCTGTAAATTGAGAAGTTTAATAAAGAAACTGAGAAAGTAAGCAGAGATGTCCCCACCTTCTCCAGTAGCTGGTGTTGAGGAATGATGAGACGGGATATGGAATGTCTTTGCATTTCGATGGTTTGATGTCGACATCGCAGGCCGACATCGACTCGTCTGATTGGTCGCTGAGAGCTGGAGAGGGCGTGGCACTGGACCAGGGGGACTTGTCACTCATGTGCTCCTCACCTGAGAAAGAAAACGTAAAAAATACAAATTATTATTCACATAACACTTAACAACCACAGCATTAATGAAACATATGAAAGATCACACAATTTGTAGACAAAACATCTAGCTTTAGTACTAAGCTAAACAGAAATTTGCTTGTTGAAGATGATACATTTTCTAAGTCTAACCCCTTGGTAGTCTGTAGTTGAAGATGACTCACACCTTTTCTGAATATTTGAAAACTGAGTATAGACAAGGAAGATTTTTAAAACTTCATGATGCCATATCTCATCAACTGCTCAACATATTTCTGAAGTTCTTTCTAAAACTGTAAGAATCATTTGTGTATCATGTTTTATTTTAAATTTTGGTTGGAATACCTATACATGTATACTAGTACTTAAATACATGAATACAACCTTAATAATATTAGTTAAATAAGATATTCTCCCTACGTGCTATGCACAACACATTACAGGTTTCACACAGCTACAGGCACAGTGCATTCTGCCTACATTCTGCCAACAGTGAGGAGAGTTGCCTTACCACTGACGTCGTCCGAGCCCTCCCCACTCCTGCTCTTGCGCAGCAGGCCCATCTTCTTCTTGGCCAGCAGGTGCCGGCGCTTGTTCGGCCGCTTGCTCAGCTTGGACTTGAACTTGGCTTTGAGGATGGTCTTGGTCCCGGGTCCTGCCCTGGCATCCACAACCTACACCAAACATTGCAAAACAAAGAGATGTTTGAAAAAAAAAAAAGAAGATTTCTATCTAAGTGTTATGATTAAGAAACATTATTTTATCCAAAACATACTCACAGGAGCTTGATCATAGAGCACAGTATACGTAGAAATACTATAGACAACACACACACGTGCATGCACATACAAACACACACACACACAGAAATATCAACAGCATTCCTTCAACTCATCAATGTATCATTTAATTTCTTCTAGATTGAAAAAGATCCTATTCTAGCTAAACCCAAAATGTAAGGAGTAAAGAACTTCAGAAATCTGAATGAGGAGTGTGTATACGAACATGATGCCAGTTTCTGTCTGTGCCCTTGGGCAGTTTTTTCCAGCGCTTGACCAGCAAGACGCAGGCGTTGCAGATCTCCCCGCTGCGCTCCTCGTGCAGCTTGAAGCACTTCTGGAACTCCACCTCGTATTTGGCACTGTCCGTGAATCTGGAGCTGGACGACTTGGCACCACATATGCAGCAGCCGCTGATGCTACGGTACACCTTAGGCTTGTGGAAACTAAACATGGTGGCAGCTGTGGAACAGAAAAGGTGCCTGTTAGATCTGCTGATGCTATGGTATAGCCTGGGTGCCATCCTCCAGACCATAATTTCTGCCTGCTCCCTATCTGTGGTGCCCACATTAGGGTCTCAGTGGGCAGAAACTATGGAAGATGGCACCCAGGCTAGCTACGGTACACCTTGGGATTAAGTATTGAAACTATACATGGTGGCAGCTGTGGAACGAAAAAGGTGCCTGTTAAATTGCTGATGCTACGGTATAGCCTGGGTGCCATCCTCTACCCTGGGTGCCATCCTCCGTAGTTTCTGCTCGCTCCCTATCTGTGGTGCCCAGTGACATAATTAGGAAGCGGGCAGAAACTACGGGGGAATCAGAACCCAGGCTATCTACGGTACACCTTAATGGGCTAGAAGCTTGACATGGTGGCAGCTGCTAGCCTGTTACCAAATATATTATTATAGCTTGGGCCCCAAGTCCTACACACATTTGCGGATAGGCTGTACTCCTGATTTGCAGATATTCCTTTCATAAGTCACAAACTCCTATCAATCTATTTGGCCAATTTCTACTAGTACTCTTTCAGTTTCCAGCCACTTCTGAAGCCTGGTAGAGGCTAGCTACCAGGGCAGATGGCTCTGGACCATCATCACCCATGGGATCTCTCTGTACACAGAGTCGAGTCATGCGTTAGACCTGAGTGATGGTAGAATGGATGGTCTGGTCCTTCTTTCTATGTACTCAGTCCAAAATCCATCATTTACTGGCCAAAAGGCTGAGGCCTAGAAAGAAACGTCAACGTTGGAAAACTGAAGTACAAGTTTCAGCACCCAGGTGTCAGACCATGGAGATAGAAATGCTCAATCAGCTTTACCATCAAACCCAAAAAAAGGCTAGGGTTGGCAGTTTTTTTTTCTAGGGTCAGTCGGGAAACAGAAAACACAACATTTTTCTCCTTGGCCTCAGACTGACTCTTTTAGTAAATACAGTTCAAGGACAGGTTATTCAATACAGTCAGCAAAGTGCCATGTTATTGTCAATATAGGGGTACGTAATGGCAGCTACAATTGGGACTTTTCAAGGCTAAAGTTTTGTCCACTGCGACTGCTGAATGAAAGGCCAGATTGTGGCTTGGGTAACCAGCATTCATGGTTGAAACGACGTCATGTGAGACAGAGCGCATCTTCGCGGTGGGATGAGTTCACAAAAAAAAGACACCCCCACCAAGGAGATTTTAGCAGATCGAGACACAACTACTGTAAAACTTGCTTCAAGTCCTTGCCCCCACTAAAACCATTAACATAAAACCACCACAAATCTATCATGATTTCGTAGATAAAATCACAAGACTGGGCAGAAAAACTAGCTCTAATCTGTACTAACTCAAACCATCTGAACCAAGGTAAGACTTTCTTCCAATGTTCTGTGTTGTTGTTCTTCCACATTTCCAGCTCAACATAATACAAGCGCCAACAACTTAATTTAGCCGTTTTTACGGACTCTGTTAGCCAGGTAATGGCTAGCTTTTAAAAAGCGTCAGGAATCAAAAACACTGCCTCATCATTGTGAAACAGCAGACACAACAAGCTTGAGACCACAACAAGACAGGGGGGGTTTGAGACCTGCGACAAAGCATCACGTTACACCAAAAGGCCCAACAATGTTTACATTCCTGACTAACAAAGAACAATGGGAGACGTTTAGCATTCCGACTCCTGATTTGCATGTGTATGACAGGAAAACATGCATAGATTTTTCCTGATTGAAGTAATGGGCAAAGGGGTCAATTAGAACGACTAATTAAGTCACTTCGTAACAGATATTTTTTTTTCAAAAGGAAGGTGACGTGCAATGGTTGTATTTGGTGATACTGTTGACATGCTCGCATGCGAACATAGTTTAGGACGGAGAGAAAATCTTTTATGTAAAGAAACAGCCTGTTTACATTTGCAGACCTGCAAAAACAAAACATGTCCACAAGGTGTCAGGTTTCAATGCCAGCTGAGGTCACAGAACTGTTCATAGAAAAATTCATAAGAAAGTAAGACCAAAATAGGGTTTAAAAAAAAAACAACCTTCATTCAAATTCTTTGCGTCCACATGAATTATGAAAGCATTCTATTAAAAATGAACTCAATTCTGGAAATAGTATGATTGTTCTTTTAAACGAAAAAACACAATAACAAAGTAATTTGTAGTAATTATCTGACTAGTGCTCAAATTATGCATGCGGTACATTAAGCCAGTGCTACAATAATTGCTAAAATTTCTATGACAAGCACACGAACACAAGACCCGCGTAACTTGATACCTTTCCGCTTAAGCGAACACAACGTCCCATTTCAAAACACAGCAAAAATGTTTGCCGATGACAGCAGAAAAAAAATACCCACGTTTGTTTTTTCGTGCGGTTTAGGCGAACGTCCAATCATGCCCAGTTATGGTTAAAAGAGCAAACGCGGCGACGTTATGTACGTAAGGGCTAAAGCTGTGCAGTGCGAAAACAGGAAGTGTCACCGGAAGTGGCGTAGACAGAACAGGTAGTATGTGTGTAGGTGTTACACTGCGTAGCACGTGTGGGACCACATGTACATAACGTAACAGGTTATTGAGTAAAGCCCACGCTCGGGTAAAATCCACACCCTCTGCACATTAACGCACACAAAACGACCACATGGGCAAATCCTGATCGTAAAAATGCTCAGAGAAAACCGCAACCATAAGCAGGCCTTCTACCATCCCCTAAATATATTGACAGAGCCCTGGTTTTCAGGACACCTAGGAAGGTTACACACAGGTAACTCAGGGTCGATGGTAGTAGTAGCAGACACTCTGAATCACAAATTCCTTGTCCACAAAGCTGTGTCAGTTACTACAAACGTTCTCCCACAAAAATCCACACTACTGGATGTAAAAATCCATCATAATTTTGCCGCAGATGAAGCAAAATTGTGCTAAAATTTGTAGATATTTTCTGGGTACGTGACTGAGCGTACAGTTCACCTTGACCTTAAAGCGGGTTCATCATGAATATGTAAACAGCAGAATACGACTCTGACCTACTATAAGTACCAGATATTGAATATTTATAATATTTCCAAGCCACGACAAGAAGCGGGAACCACCCACAAGGATAAATTTCGTACGTGGCGTCGTGTACGTGAACAGGGAAAAATTTGCCTAAAATATTTGTCCCCGGAGCCGACATTATAATACAACATGACAAGCGTGATCAACCAACGGCAACACGTCCTCATGCAAGGTACAACCATTTTTAAAGGGGAAAATTATGATTCAGATGTCCTTATAAAGGCATGCGGAGGTTTATGGAAATCAGAGGTAATGCGTAGATGCCGGCTGCGTCTAGGGGAGATACTTTTTCACATTGGGCTAAGGGTAGAGGTCGAGAACGAGGCGGAGGTCACTGGAGGTCACCGGAAGTGACGCGTAGGGCTGGACTGCTACTCATATGCTGCAGCAATACCTCAGTTTCGGTAGTATGGGGAGGGCTACCTGCGTCTTTCCCTCGATTTACGTGCAAAAACGTCAACTTTTACGTCTATATTCACTGCATTTGTTTGGCTCTTACCTCTGGGGACAAGGAAAAGCACAGTTCAGATCATATTTGAGGGGATTTAAGCTCTGGGGACCAGGTAACACTCCATATAACGTTACATGTAGGTAATGGGGACCAAATTGGTTATCAACGTTATATTTGTGTGGCTCTTACATCTGGGCTCTTTTTTTTAGCTCTGGGACTAGGTAAGGCAGCTAATACAGGAAACATTTGCACCGTACAAGTAATAATTGCACGGCTGTCAGGTCTGGGGACCAGGTGAGG